CCCTCTAAGGTATTTTAGAAATTCTTTTGGAGTAGAACATTCTGGTTGTTCTCTCTGGCCCTGCTGTAGAGTGGGGAGAACAACAAGTAAGAAAGAAACTATTGAAAATTAGAGATGAGCATTTGCTGATAGGCATTTTACGAGGCCCTGGCTTTTGCTGCAGTTTGTCATTGCTATGCAAGCTTTTGCTGGTTCCTTTTGGTCTTAATCCTAAGATCAATTGCCTTTGAGCACTCTGATAGTAAGGCAACACACGAGTACTTTCCAAGAAATAAAGAGAAACTTTGATTAAAAAAATTTGTATAATCTGTCACATGTGATGAATACATCTTGGTATAGTTAACTTGGAAGAACGGATCGCCTTCTTCAACAATATTATTTATTTATTTATTTTTTTTTGGAGGAGGCTTCTATACAATTCCTTAATGCCTATTTTGGTTAATCTTCACAATTAGGTTTAATGGCCATTTGGGAAAAAATTTTATCAGCGGCCACATTAAGGTTAGTTATGAAGAAAAGACCCTTTCAATAGAGGTAAGCTATCTATATCACCAAGTTTAATAGCTTCAGTTATGGAGTTTTTCATTATAAACTATTTTTCCTCCTCTAATTTGATTGTTAAGCAATGTCTTCTTTAGAATGTGATCTCGTCGAACACACTCTAATGAACAAATTACATCTTAAACTTTTTGCTGTTGGAAAAGGAAAATCATGGATTGTTGTATTCCGTATATGAAAAAGGAAAAGGAGAATTAAGATCAAATGAATGGGGACACCTATTATTAGTTCGTTTTTTATTAGATGCACGCTTATTCGAGTAATCATGGCACACAACAAACTAGAAATTACTTTGAAGACCAATATTATCATTCTAATTATATTAAAAGCTTAAGGGTCGTTTGTCATTGTTGCCAATTTTGTATTTTATGTTTCATGTTTTTAAATTTTATTTTATTTTATTTTTAATTTATTGAATTTAAAATATTTTTACTGCAGAAATTTGTTAACAAAATCTTATAAGAAAAAATTATTAAAGCTTTAAATTATAAGTTGACAATATCTGAACTTTTTTTTTATTAATTTTTTTTTGGCTCGGGGTGGTTTTTTTTTTATATATATATATTTTACTTTTTGGTTATTATTTTTTAAGTTTATCTTTTACTTCCTTTTTTAGTCTCTGATCTAAATCATTTTCCCAAACTCTTGATAGTTGATATTGCTTGATGGTTGATCATTTCACCAATTATTCAAATTAATTTAAAGATACAAATACTTCAACAATTTTACACTTTGTTTTTATAATTGATCATTACTATTAACCTAATTTCTTTTTTATTTTTCTTTTAATTGAAATGAGAATCGTATGATTTTAGAATTTGGTTTCAGAGCTGCAAGCAGCAGCCCCACCTTGAACTTGAAAGACGCCTGCATTGAGCTAACCTTTTGGAACTGAAATGTCATGGTAACAACTTTTCGATTGTTCTTTTTTTATTACTTTCTCAGCCAAAAAAAATGAACGTTTTTTTGACCGGATGGTTTATGATAAAGTTAATCATTTTTTTAATTGGAAAGTTAATAATCTTTGTCAAAACTAGAGAATAATTACCTACCAACCTGGTGTAACCAATAGAAACATGCCAACGGATCGATGATTCCATTTCACTCTTTTTTGGCATTATGATTTCATTGATTTCTTAGCTTTACTTCCCTTAGTAGCCCTCTCCTCTACTTTTCAACATACCTGAGCTTTTGTATGTTATGTTTCGATCCAACCGACGAGGATGACCCTGAAAGCAACATTAGATAACCAAACTGGAGAAGCAGCTAGAGAAATGCTTTTGCTTTCCATTCTTAAATCTGCTACAATTATATTCCAGCACTACTTTCCCATTGTTAATGCCTCAGTTTCTTCCCCCAGTTTTTTTACCTTCTCTTCTTGCACCAAGTTCAGTCTGGGAAACTTTTCACCAAACTGGCCTGGCCAAAATGATACTGACCTCTTTTTAGGTTCCTTTCTTGAAGTGGTCTGGTAGGTGCTTGGAGGTTGAGACAAAGTTTTTGGTAGGTTTCAGCCCACCAATTGTAACATATGCCAGAGCTGTATAATTTGGCTGGCATAGTTGAACTGGAAACAACTGTACAATTATGATAATCTGAAATTTTCTTGAAAAAAAATCAATAACTGTTATTTGTTCAGTGGTTTGTTGGTTTCAGATAAAATGTTTTGGTACTTGGAAATTATCAAGCACTTTACATGAACTTTTGAGAGTTGGTCCGCTGTAATAAGGGCGAAATCAAAGCCAAAGGGGCGGGTTTGATATTTCAGTTTAACAACCGAGTTAATTGAGTTTGATAGGGGGCCTTTATCTCCCATCTCCTGTGCTACCAACCTTTTGTTGGTTGATTCAATTTGATTAATTTGTAGTCTAGCAGTGTCGGTTCAGAAGTTGGCCATCACTCATTTGACTGTACAATACTAATTAATTAAATAAGCAATTATCAGACACAGTGTAACAATGCTTATTAACCACTCATTCTCTAGCAGAAAAGGATTTCTATTAACAGGAAACTAAAAACAAGATGTTTGATTGAGTGGATTAAAGATTTATTTAACAGCATGATAAGAAAATTCAATTATAAAACGTAATTATGGTATGACGAGAGTTTTTTTGAACCATGCTATCAAAGGAACCATAATTCATTTGTTTGGACATTAAAAGAGATTTTGAATTGGAAAGTCATCTAAAATATAAGCTCCCAACGAAAACCCTAAAAGTAACACAAGACCCAAATTTTATTGTTAACAAAAAAGAAAAAAAAAAAAAACACAGTGCTTGATTAGTATGCGAGAAAGGTAATGATTTTGAAGGGTAAAAATTGAGCAGGTCGATTACAGCGGCAATAGAGTTCACTTTTCGATAATAAAAACTGAGGGAGTAGCATCATGTGAAGTGAAGCCTTAATTTTGGAGCTAATTTACCCATATTACATGATTGCTTCACATGCTCTCCTCTGCTGGTTCATCAAATCTTCACTTTTAGGACCGCTGCTCCTTACATTCTCCATTGCAATTTGCAGAGGCCAGGCACCGGTGTTAAAGTAGGTTATCTAATAGTTAATAAATATTTAATTTTTTATAATTTTATATTTAAATTAAATTTTTTTATTTATTATCAACTTTGATATTTATTATGATATTAGAATTAAAAATTTTTCGATATCTTTTTTAAATTTGTTATATAAAAAACTTTTTCAATAAAAATTTATTAAAATAAATTATCTCTCGTTTAATAAATATTTAATTTTTTATACTCATAAAATTTGATCGGCCAAACCACGTACGTCCTTTTTTATTACATAACGTACAACATTGCTGGCTCGTAATTTTTTCATGTCCTTTTTAATGATACGTGTTGTTTGATCCATTTCACTTTTAATTTCACTAATTCCTTAACTCATAATTATTTAATTTATATAAAAGAATATTATGCATTTGAGTTTTATCAAATTTTTAATTTTCAAAAATCTTGTTAATATATATCATTTAAATTAATATTCATTTGAAAGTATTGTATTAATTATGAGATGAAATGAAAAAAAATATAAAATTGCTTTTATAAAACAAGTATTCTAATTATTTGTCGATATCATATAATTTATTTATAATATCATATATAGCTTTCTTCTTGAAAAACAAAAATTCCAAAAGCTCATTACCGTTATATGATTTCTATATTTTGTTTGTGTAATTTTTTTTTTAAGAAAAAATTTAAAATAAATAAGTTATTTAATCTTTCATATTAAAATAAAATGTGTCGTACCTAATAACTTAAAACAGATAACTACAGATTGTATATTTGAAATGATCCAATAAGTAACTATCGATAAGACTTGAATCCAAGACATCTTCATCAGAGAGAACAAGCTTTATTTAGTTAAACCAATCACTTGTTTGTGTGATTAGTGATTTAATTTGATATCTTTTTTGTTTTTTTTATTTTTTTATATTTTAAGTTATGATAAGATGTATCGTATCTTATAATTAAAATAAATAACTGTAAATCATATATTTAAAATAATCTTAATAAATAATAATTAATAAGACAAAAATCTAAAATTATTTATTTGTGTGATTGATGATCTAATTTAATATCCCTTCTATTTTTTTTTCTTTTAGTGTGTATTACTACAATTGTAGTACGGTCTTGTTTTTTTTTCTAAATGTCTTACGTAATCTAGTTTTTTGTTTTTTGGACGTCTTATGTAAGTTATTGACCTGATATAGAAAATTTACTGATGAAAAAGATTTTTCAACGTCCAGAACCAAAATATCTGCCAAAGGGAAAAACATTAAAAACTATATTTCTTTCCCCTAACAATATGTGATAATGGATTGTCATGGAAATTTGTTCCGATAAAAAGTAAAGTGGGCAGTACTGTTTTTTTTTTTCCCTTTTGTGTAAGAAAATGGAAACTATAAATGCTGTGAGTGAAAGATTCATAGAGTAGTCGGTGCATGGAAATGCAAGCTTTAAAAGATTGAAAAAAAAAGGAAAAAAGAAAACAACAATTAAAAATGATCTCATTTAATGATTTTAAATGTCATTAAACACGATATGATTACCACATATAAAAATAATAAATTTAAAATTTTAATAAAAATTTATAAATTTAACAAAATCAAATAATATATTTTATATTTAAAATATTAATATAAATATAAAATAATTATTTTAACAATATTTAAAATAATAAAATATAATATAAATATAAAAATTGTCATATATAAATACACAAATAAATTAGCATAATTAATGGTCTTAAATTAATTAGTGCTTCTATTTTTTTAAAAAATATAAATTAAATCTTAAGCAAGCATGGCCAGATTGGATTATTCTTGACAATCCCATTGCCACCTTGAGTAGAGTAAAAAACAAACAAATATAAAAGCTACCAAAAAGAGGCCATAACCTGCATAAAACGCCACCGTTTCACCTGCTTCACCTTAAGGAACGACTCTTCTTCTTCTTCACCTTAAATTAAAAGGCCTGGACGAACCTCGGACATCATTGGGGACTCGCCCAATGCCACCGCCACCGCCACCCGCAGCGCCGGCTGCTCCACCGCCGCAGCAAAAGGAGTAAAAACGAAGAAATGGCGCAATCTTTTAAACTCAAAATTAACACTCTCCTAAACAAGCTTGGAGACAGAGACACCTACTCTCTTGCCGCTGCGGAGCTCGACTCCGTTTCTAGAAACCTCGATGCCACGTCACTTCCGACTTTTCTTTCCTGTATTCTCTCCGTCGATTCCTCCGATAAAAGTGGAGTCCGGAAGCAATGCGTGAAGCTCATTTCTGTTTTAGCCGTTACTTATCCAAATTCTCTCCCTCATTTCCTCCCTAAAATCCTCTCTAGCCTCCTGCGTCGTCTCCGCGACCCCGACTCCGCCGTCCGCTCCGCCTGCATCAACGCCGTCTCCGCCCTCTCCGCTAACCTCACGAAGTGCAACTTCTCGTCTTCGTTTTTGAAGCCTTTGAGCGATGCGCTTTTTACGGAGCAAGAACCGAACACACAGATTGGGGCGGCATTGTGTTTGGCGGCGGCGATCGATGGGTCACCCGACCCTGATCCGGTTAGGCTGGGAAGGTTGTTGACGAAGCTGGAGAAACTCGTGAAGTGCGATGGCTGCAAGGCGAAGGCGGCAGTTTTGGTGGTGATCGGGAGTGTGATCGGGTCAGGTGGTGCGTCGAATTTGGGTCAAGGGATGATGAAAGGATTGGTTGGGTGTTTGATTGGATACTTGAGTAGCGAGAATTGGGCAGCGAGGAAGGGGGCGGCAGAGGCGCTTGGTAGGTTAGCGGTGGTAGAGAGGGATTCATTGGCTGAGTTTAAAACTGGTTGCATGAAAGTTTTTGAGGCTAGAAGATTTGATAAGGTTTTTTGCATTTTAACATATAATTCTAGCTTTTAGCTTAATTTTTATTCAAATTTTTGTAAGATCTTTTATATATTGGTTTACATTAGTTTTTATTCATTGTTCTTAATGTTAATGCCATTTTTTAACGTGGATCATATAGGTAAAGGCCGCTAGGGAGGTTATGAATCAGATGTTGGAGGCGTGGAAGCAGGTTCCCGATGTTTCAGAAGATGCGTCGCCACCGCCTCGATCGCAGGCTTCTTCTAGAGGTATGTGATGATCTGCTTGTGTTTGATGGGAGGTAGATCTCTTGTCTAATGTGTTCTAGTTAATCTGGTAGATTGATGTGTCTTCTAGAATATCGAAATTAGGAATGTTGCATAGAATCAATGCATCTTTATTGTGAGCTGGTTATTTGGTAATTGTCTATTTGTAAGTCGCCCCGATTGACATGATCCCTTTCTTGTGAAATAATTTTGCCATTTTTGCCAACATGAAACGGATTTTTTACTCATATACTCGATTTGGTTTTGTTCTCATAACAGAGGATGCAAGTGATGGACACTATCCGCCTGGGTCTAAAATTTCTTCCAATGCGGATGTTGCAGTTAAGAAACGTGCTTTGACTTCAAGGTCAACGCCACCCTATAGTTCCTCTGCGACGACAGCTAGGAAGAGAAGTCCTTTAAAGGCAACCATTCAGAAAGTGAATGGCAAAAAGCCCCAAAACTGGAGAGTTGAGATCGCTGCTCCTCATGCTGCTACAGTGACAGGGGTTAGTGAGGATAGTCTTAAGGAGAGTAGTGAGAATGTATTACAAAGGGGGGATAATGAGAATGTGAAATCTTCAAAGTCTGAAATAAAGCGTTCCCTTTTCATTAATAAGAATTCCGATGACAAGACACACAAAATTGGTGGTTCGAAGTCTCGTGTTGCTCCTTGTCACGAGGAAATCCCAGAATCCACTATTGTGGTTAGTAATGCCTCTGAGAATCTCCATGCAAACCACAAAAACTGCGAGGATTTATCTTTGATCCGCACCCAACTGGTTCAGATAGAAAAGCAGCAATCTAGCCTACTAGATCTCCTGCAGGTTTGTTTCCAATGCTTGACAAATAAATATCCTCTCAATTACCATCTAGTAATTTGACTATTCTAGTGATATATCTCTGAAGATGCTTTTTTCAATAACATAAGGTGCTTAGGCATTGCATTATTCACATAATTTTTAACTTATAGGGCAAATCAATTAAACTACTGAATTTTGACCGATCTAGTGAGTACCTGACTAATGACATCATTGATTAGGCTGAAATCGACCATTATTTATATTTTCTAGAATTCTAGTTTCAGCCAATGTCTTTGAAGTTGAAAGAAAGATGGTATTTCTACACATTATTACCAACTCCTTGTGACTTCCATTTTTTAAACTTACTGTTAATTTCGGAATTGATAGAGGCATTGGACTATAGTATTTGATGATAATAAAAAAAAATTAACTCCCATCCGTAATTTATGTCATTGAATGAGTAAAAGTTTGAAAATATATATGATTGATCTCAGCGGATAGTAGGATTGTTTGTGTGATAATAAAAAAAATTTAACTCCCATCCGTAATTTATGTCATTGAATGAGTAAAAGCTTGAAAATATATATGATTGATCTCAGCGGATGGTAGGATTGTTTGTGTGACTATACAATAAAATTCCAATTACTGGGCAAGCCTCTGTTGTATGTATTCATACAAATAGGCAAAGAATAACCATAAATTATTTCATTTTTATATATTTGAAGCCTGGACGAGGTGTAAATGCTCCAGCAATTTCTACTACATCTACTTTGATTGTACTTATTATCACACCAATGCTTCATATCTCCTGTTTTCTTATTTCTTTCTTCTTTTGTCTAGAGATTCATTTGTAGCTCACAGACTGGGATGAATTCATTGGAGACACGTGTGCACGGTCTAGAACTTGCTTTGGATGAGATCTCGTATGACTTGGCTGTATCAACTGGAAGGATGTCTTATTCTGGCAGGACCACTTGTTGCCTACTACCTGCTGCAGGTTTTTTGAGCTCCGTGTTCTGGAGGAAAACAGATGGTGGCCGATACAAAAACTCTAGGTTTTCTATGTCCAGTGGCACCCCGACAGTGGCTGCTACACGTTATAGAGCTGATAGAAATTGCAATGCTGAAACATTTAAGTTGGAGAACCATAGGTTACGACTTCAAGGTGGTGGTGGATTTATTAGGAATCCATTAGCAGAAATTCATAGTGATTCAAGGCATTTCTCTGAGATAGCACATCAGTGAAGCAGCAGGTATTTAACATTAGGTTTTACTTTTAGTCTTGTAATCCCACTTTGATTTGGCAGAACCTGCTTGAATGTCGATATTTCCTCTAAGACAGATAAGCATTTACGCCAGGACAGACTCCTATCACATGCCTTTATTTCGTTGGGCAATATAATTTTTATTTCCTTCTCTAACAGTAAATGGAAACAGCAAGGTTCCTGATCCGGTTATTGTGGGTGGGTTAGGTCCTAACCCTGCCTTCAGTAGAACATCCATTTAATATCTTCCTTGAAATTCATGCTTTCAGTTACAGGAGCAACCTCTCTTATTTATTTTGCCATCCAATTATCAAACTTGTATTCTTATGTCCTTACATCTGTCATGCATCTCAGGCGTCATACCTGTCGCTGTTTATTTCTCAATCATAGGGCATGAGATATGCATTTTTCTTTCTGGACATTTGTTGTTACGGTTCTGTTTCCCCTTTTAGCAGGATTCTGATTTGCATTCGAACTGATTCCTTGTAGGTTTGCTGCATGATTGGGACTTGGGAGTTATGGAAATGCATGGTTTCACTCAATTTCTGGTCGGTGGTGTAGAAAACCTTAAATGATAAGGGAGACAACAAAGATGATGATCCACTTATATCTGGTCCGTTATGAAGTAGCCTATAGAAAATGGCTTGCCGGAATTGTTATGCAGTTCATTTTGAACTCATCTCAGACAGTCTACCGTCTTGCGTCTCCTGGAGAGACCAAGAGAAGCCGCATCATCTTAAAATTTCTCCATTTATAATTAATAGTTAAGTTTAACCCTTTTTTATCCCTTAAAAATTTTTCTAGTTATATTGAGGCATATGAAAATGGAGAAAGAATGGGTTACACCACCTAATTTCTCCAGCCTGGAGTAGAGTGTGAAAGTGTGTACAAATTTTTATTTCGTTCTTGCTTTATAGATCATTTGAAATGGCAATCTTTATTATTTTACATCCATGGTGAGCATCCTTATACATAAAAACTAGCAATTTAATCATGGTGGGGTCTAAACATGTTAATGCAAACGAGAAAAATGCTTATTGACCTAACGTACCGTCCCACATCGCATGAAGTTATTGGTATACTATTATTCATACCTAGAAAATGAATTTCTGCAGACTTGCTTTATATAAAATAAACCAGAAATAACTTGTCATGTTCAGTATGAGTACAATGTTGGGTTATATGACATCAGATGAAAAAGTTTTCTCTGTAATTTCTTTTGGCCAAGAGCTGTTTTTATTTTGTTCTTCTTGAAAGAAGGATATGTCAAAAGCCGTTCAAATACTTCTTCATTTTGGTATGAAGTCTCAGCAATTTGGGAGAGAAATGTCCTAAAAATGCTTTTAAGAAGCATAATGTGGGAGAAAAGAAAGAAACTGAGTTTCAAACTTCCAATAAAATTTCACCAAGGTTGATTGTGGGATACGGGAGTAGCAGTGAAAATGTGTCATATCTCAAAAACAGTGCAGAAACTACAAATGTTGCCGACAGTGGCAAAAGCAGTGAAGGGATTTAAAGGTTTGCCGACAATGAGGATGGACTATTACATGCCCCAATGGCAAAATGCAAGGTGCCAATTTTCTTGAATCAAATCGCTTTAAATTCACCATTATTCATTCCAGTGTCCGATAGTACCACAACCTTTTCAAGATGGCACGATATTATCTAGTATTACTTCTTAAAATGAAGTTGAAAAGTTACTCCACACCTTATACAACAAAAAATCAAACTCCTAGAGGCCTCACATCTTGGAATCTCAACTCAATACCCACATGTGAAACATTAAAAATGAGGTAAAGTTGGCAAGGGCATAACCTTTGACAAATTTAAGACCAGAGTTCACCTGCAGCAAGAAGATTCGTTAAGAGGATTGTTCAGTGGAGTCCTGCTTCTCAATTTTCTGCCAAAAGAAAGAGTCAAGTTAAAAGAGCTCGATTCATGTCAACATCATAGCAATACTTTGACAGAACATTTCGATCAGCTACAAGATTACCCCATAGCCACATACTCCATATCAGACAATATTGAAAATACAAGAAGCAAAGAAATGCTGCAGCCTAACAGTTTGCACTCTCATTCATAAGCAAGTAATTTGCTAAAAACCAGTTCAGCAAGACCAGAAACTCAGCAACTAATAGGTATGTCAATATTCTCACCCAAACCCAACCGGGAATCCTGTTCCACACCAGGGATGGGGTTGAGGAACATAATCCCAGCCCTGCTCAACCTTGCTCCTGATAATTATACTATTTATTAAATATGTTTTTATCTATTAGTTCTATAATTATATATTTATAAAAGAAAAAACACCATTAAAAATTTCTAATACAATAATAAAATCAAAATAATTTGGTAAATTCAAACAATATATATATCCTAAATATGTTAGGAAAAAATGAAATATTTAAAAATTTATTTTCAATTTAAAAAAAAAAATTGATGGGAAGCAGGGATTTCCTGTTCCCATTAGATCCCTGCGAGGGCGGGGATGGGGAGAAATTTTCTCCCCAAGACAGAATGGGGATGGGGACGGGGAGTGCACTCCCCTCCCCGTTGACATTCTTAGGAACTGATGACACACTCGTGTAAATTGTATGTGGCAAAATGCTAACTGAATTATGAGGCGCAATACCAGATGACTGAAAAGCATCAGATTAATCATTTATCATACATGGAAAAACTGTCTTTTGTTTCCTTATTCAATGTCCATCCCTTTTTTTTAAATCAACCATTTTTTAAGGTAAGCATTCTAGTTACTTCAGATAATGTGAAAAATCAACCTTCTTCCACAGAATAAAGGTGCCAGAAAGTGAAGTTGAAAATAAAAATCAAATTGAGATTGTAACAAATCCAAGAATATGCATAAATACACATGCAAACACACATACAGACGTGCATGAGAAAACTGTCATTTAGATGAATATAGCAAAGAAAATGTCAAATCCAAATTTGAAGGAACTCTCTTTGTGCACTGCTTCCAAGTGTTTCTACCAGCCATAGTTAACACTTGAAAAGATTTTTAATTTCTCACATTCATGGTTTACATTCGACCTCAGTATTCTTGTGAATCATCATATAGGAAGCAGTTGAAGTCGATTTAGACCTTAATAAAATCTTTTTGACAAGAGCACAGCTCATAGATCTTTCAGAAATGATTTCAGATGCAATAGCAGTTAGAAGAAAAAATGTTATGCTCTGAACCACATAGAGACATACTATTCATACTCCCAAAGGACTCAAAACACAGCATTATCTCATTCCAAGTGGATGCAGATGTGATATGGCATCAACCAACAAAAATTACTACTGCATTTCAGAGATATGTAAGTATAGAAAAGAAGAAACATAAAGCTACAATCAAAGACAAAAATTACTGTAAATAATGGGTTAATGTTACATTGCCCCATGAGTTTGCACCAATTCTGGAGTGAAGGATTGAGCATGAAAAAAGAAATGGGTCTTGCAGTGAATCATTCAAACAATTCCCAAGCATAAAAAGATGATAACTCAAAATAATATTTAAAACAAAAAAGTAGCAAAAAGGTAGAAAAAGGAAAGGGTATAGAGGAAGAAGAGAATACGGATTGAGAGTTGTGCCAGGCAAGGCCTCTGTAAACATTAACAGTGAAAGTGGCGGTTAGGTAAACGGTGGCCAACCCAAGACCAGCTACGAACCCTTTGAATGCCCAATCGCCCGCTCTGCTTCCCCATCCCATCTTTCTATCTCTCCCTGTTGGCGGCCGCTAACTCTGCCCCTTTCGCACCACAACAAATAGTATTAGTTGCCCCTTTCGTCTTTCCACTTTGGATTTGGATTAGAGGAAAGGCCTTTGCGGTGTTTCGCCTGTTTTCACACTTTTTTTTTTTGCCACAACACTTTCTTATATTAGGTAAGATTTCTTTTCTACTTGTAATTATCCCAAAAAACCTATATTTATCTTTCTTTATATACTCAAATTTTTTATTAAAAGATTCTCATATTTTTTTATTTTTTTATTTTTAATTTGCTATACGAAATATGTATTATCATACTAATTTAGCTTGTAATATGTAAAAACTTCGTATAATTTCTCCATGTTGTACAAGTCTTAATAAAAATTAATTCCTAAGAAAAACATGAGTAATTAAGTACTAATTTCCTAAAAATTATTTCTTTAATTAATTAATTAATTAATTAGTAATGAAGATGTTTTAATATTTTTTTATAGGAAAATATTTGATTCTATTCAAAATGTTGAATTATTTTTTGCCATCAATATCATACTCCTACTTTAAATAAAAGAAATTTTTTCTATCAATGAAAGAACTTAAAATCTCATCATTTTACATTATTTAATTTTAGAAAAACTATCATATTCATTAATAGTGACAATTTCAGACTTCATAAGTAAAATTAACAAAAAATAACTTTAGTGTAAAAAAATTAAAAAAAAAAAAACATGTAATAACCTCTTAATCTCATTTATGAAATTTAAAAAATTTATTACAGCATATGAAAAATAAATGTACGAATTTCTTAATCTTTGACCAAAGTCAAATCTACCTTCTTTTAAATAACCCAAAAAAAAAAAAAAGAACTTCAAATTTAGTTGGACGTAAAGCTTGAAAGTGTCAAATGACAATAAAACCATAGCTTGAAGCTTTTAAAGGGACAATAAAACTATCTCACCAGTAACCGTCCATTAGCTATTAGTTGGTAAAATTATTTTTAGAAATATGATAAAAATTCGAGTCAACAATTTTAAAACGATTCACATTTCATGACTGCAAAGAATAAGCCATCAAATATGATGTCCTCCAACTTATGATATATGTTATGGGACAAGCCCACAACAAAGGGGATCACATTTCCACTTCAAAAGCCTTGGGTTGATGATCATTGATCAACAACCAACTCTAGTTTTGCCTTCCAAAGGACAATGACAACCAAGGTTCCTGCAGTTCAAAACACTGTAAAATGTTGGAATAGCCAACTACCATGGAGAAGCAGCATTTCATCATTGGGTCTTGTATTTTTGTCTTTCCTGATTCTTTTGTATTTCATTGGCATAATGCATGTTTTGTCGGTCAGATGGCAGTTCAGCAAACATGTTCCAGAACCAAGCATCGGGCTGTTGGGCATCCACCCTCCTTTTAAGGGGTATCAAGACAAAGAGTAGTGACCAAAAATTGCAAGTTTAATCATTTTACTAAAGCTAATTCAACACAGTTAGATCTTGATAATAATGACACCAAAACAGCACTAAAGACATATAACAATGTCGATAATCGATATAACTATTTGATTAATCGGAGACCTATAGCTCTTCATTGTTCACCCATCTATCTTCTTATGAGCATTCTTTCATAAAAACACTGGCTTAACATCTCTATACCCACAGAGGGAATGGACCAATTTGCTGCTTCTGTTTGGCATCCCCGTATGAATGCACAAAACAGCCACATCTACTACCGCCACTTCTTTTCTGATAATGATATGAGCTGCAAAAGAAGAAATGGCAGACGAATCAATATGTGTAGCTATCATTAATAGATATCAAATGATTAAATGCGGGCAGAATGCTGCTTGAGAAGGATTATATATGTGCATGCATGTGCGCAAAATCTAAAGATAGAGGTCATCAAAATGGGGAGTAAAAGTGACACCTAGACTTTGGAACCAGGTTAAGAGAGAGAGAGAGAGAGAGAAGATGAAATCCACTGGATGGAATATCTTGTATTTAACATACTGATCATATAGAAATATCAAGAAACATACAGAATTGTTTCTGGAAACTCCGAAGAAGGCCGAAACAAAAACTGAGACTAATCTAAGAGAAGAATGAAGAACTTAAAATCTCATGTTTGGCCTCACCTAAAATAGGTGCAAGTAAACCTCCTGATGATAATAGATCAATGTCTATGAGAAAGACAAGTTTAATACAAAAAATATTGTCTAAATGCAAACAAGTCTGCATCAACAGACGCAAATATCCAAAGATCCTCAAATGAAAGCCCCAAATTGGGCTACCTGTCGTCAAAGTCTAAAAAACCCAACCATCATGTCAATCTCTAAACAATAGCAAATTACTGATACCGTCAAATTCAAGCCATCAAATACACAAAAAGAAAAACACATGGAAAGCATGATGCAACAGTAACCAAACCATAGAATCAGGCGATAACATGTTCCAACATAAACTAGCAACTCTTTCTTTTGCTCACCTGGGTTTAATAAATCTTGTTCAAAGAGTCCAGTTTAAAAATGAAGAGGAAACCACCACTGTAACAAGATTAGATGTTCATGCTTTATTGTTACAACCGATTGCCTTATTAACTTTTGATAAGAGGGCATGAAATCCCAAGAGCCTAATACTAAACTGAATCTGAAATTTTCATTTCAGTCTATGAAAGGGCTGTTGTTACTTGCAAGTGGCTTCATTTGAGGGAGAAAAAAAGACGATTGTTAATTTTCTCTTTCAACTTAGTTTTATGATAATGAGGTATAAGACAAGAATATAACAGAATGGCAATGACCAGCCAAACCTATATGGTCCCCAATGGATTTTGGAGGGGAGTAGAAGAGTGCAAATATAGATGTGCAAGCAGTAAAGTAGTCTCCTCTGACATGAGAAAAGTAAGAAACCAAATGTAAGGATTCAATGAATAGGGAAGAAAAGAATGCACTTAATGATAGATAAAAGAAAATTGGGAAACTTTTAATTTGACAAGAAAAACCAAGAGGATCTCAGAGAAAATCAAAACCAAAAGTCAATTTATAAGTTACAGCAGGAATCAACCATGTCAGGAGGATGGCTTCCATGTTCCACCAATTAAAGGACCTTATTGTCTGAATAAATCAATATATAGCACATGATTTAATAAGAGCGTACTAAGTCCTTTAATTTGTCAAGAATGCATTACAAACATGACAATACAGTATGTTGCAAGGGCAATGGATAAACAGCATTCTTCAGAAAATTGAGGAGAACTCAGCTCACCTTAGACTAGGGTCCAAGCCCATGAAATCAAATCTAAGAAAACATGACAAAGATTTGGCTTAGAGGTTGATCCAGCTGAGACCTGGGTCCAAGCCCATGAAATCAATTTTATAAAACATGACAGATTTGACTTAATGTTTGATCCCATTATCAAAATCCTTGTGGTCCCATTGCCAACAAACAAAATTTGGGAAGATTGTTAGCATGACTAGTAACTAAAATATGAATAAAAGAAAAGAAAATAAATTAGAGATTAGGTAAAAATATGATTTTCAAAATATTTGGTAAACAAATGATTTTTTTCCATAACACAAATAACACCTTGCACCTGTCATAATATTTCCAGAGATTGCATGAACCGTTATAACATCTTGGACTTAATCAAATAGTAATAAAAAAATCACCATAGCAAATTTCAAAAAGTGTAGAATGTCCCAAGCTATGCCCTCATTCTCATTCAAAGGAACAAGCTGCAGCTCTCTTGCAAAAGCACAAACAAGTTTGTTACTAAATCTATGCTGTCACACTTTTGCCTGCAGAAAGCTGAACAACATTTTCATTTAGACTATGGAGTTGAGAAGAATGAAACCAACAATTTAACTAGAGGACAAAACATAGGTGACTAGCATGATCTGTATAACCAGAATATCTATGAGATTAAGAGGAACTTTTAGATCACAAGAAAATTATCGAAGGCAACAAAGTTAAGTAGAGTCGGTAAAAAACGAGGATAACAATCACAGTTAAGATATTAAGATCAAGGAATTATTGGCAGGGTATTTCTTTCATAGTATATCTTTGAATTCAGATAAAATTCATAAGTAAATATGTCATTTTTGTGAAGTTGAAAATGGCAACAGTAAAAGTTTGAGAACATCACATCAAGTTACCTCAAAGCCTACAATCAATTAAATAAAATTTATGCCCTAAATATGATGATACTTCCCCAATCAAATAAGGTCAAACATAAAATATCAGAATCTAAGTTTCTCAAGAGCTAATCATTGCTTGATATGACATCTTAATCTAGAGATATACAAAAGCACATAGACACATGAACTAAGAGATGCCTACAACAGTCCATGCACAAATATAATGCGTATAAAGCACTTATGCTAATTGATAACTAACCTGACGAGCAACTTGTGCTACTCGCCGACTGTCTCGAGATGATTCAGTTGTCAATGTGGACTTTTCTGAATCTAGAGAACCATTTTGTTTCTCCTCTGTCTTCCTTTGTGAAATGCCATCATCAAGTGAGCAATCTCTGTCAGGGCTGCTCAATGAATCCTTCTTCCGCTTTCTTTGGAATGTGTACATAAGAAACTTATTATTTACCGGTTGAGTACAAGACCCTTCAGTTATTTCAGACACTTTAACCTCCGAGTTTACTGCAGACACATCAACTATCTCAAGATCCGTTTTGCAAGATGGAACCCCTGAATTTTCAGTAGATCCACTTTCCTGCCTTGTCAACACTTTTTTCTCTGTCATCAATTTATCATTGTTTTTGTCATTTTGGAGATCACAAGCTTTCCCAAACTCCATATCATCTTTGTCAACTTCTTCATATCCTGATTCAATAATGACTTTAGCTGCATCTGAAGGTAAACTAGGGATAGGAGAATGAGGACCCTTCTGAGCATCAAGTATGATGATCCTAGAATCTTCCCCAAATTGAGCATTATCATGAGCAACATGTGAAAAACTTTCAGGACACAATAGATAAGATTCTTGACACGTTGCTACAACCTGAACTGGTATATTCATAGATAAGGGAGCTTTATTTTTCTTAGATCTAGCAGCTCTTTTCCTTTTCCTGCAAAAAGTACTAACAGGAAGAACTTGGATAATGTTGCAAACATCACTTTGCAACATTTTGCACTCATTTGTTTTTTCCTCTGGTCTGCACATATCAGCTCTCGAGGAAAGTTTTGTGTGCATATCCTTACCTTCTTCACTTTCTCTAGTATTTTCATTCTTTGCTTCATCTACTTGCACAGAAAGAGATAAATTTTCATTCAGCAGACACCTTTCAAGTGCACGAATCCTCTGAGTGCATCCATTTCTATACAGGTCAGGCTCTTTTCGTCTCATCGCTATGGAGGCAAAATCAGGGTTACAAACATAGCAATCATCTTTACAAGAACACTTATTATCCACATTTGTTCCACTCAGAACTGAACTCTTGATGTCAGAAACTGTCACAAAATTAGTTTGTGCATCAGGTAAAGAAGATTTGACAGACCAAAATTTGTTGTTTGTATTTTCCTGTGACATCTCTACAGAAGCAGCAACATCATCTTTTGATTTTTGTTCGCCCAAACAATGCACTGGGTCTTTTGACAGCTTCTCCAACTCATCCTGTGCTTCTCTCAACTCTGCTCTAAGATCTCTAACTATATCCTCAGCCTCCCCCAGTTGTGCTTCAAGCTCTTCAATTCTTTTCTGTTGATTCAAGGACATCATCTCTGCTTCACTAACCTACAATCGTAGCACAGACAGCAAATTCTTGTTATTCAACATTGGCTTCATTGTTTTTTCCAGACATAATCATGTTATATACATATTAGATACCTTGAATGGGCATAAATATGAGGGTATAACCCTTCAAATATAAGGAAAATTTATGAAAATTTGAGCTTATCTATGTCAGACATGTCCCACAGTCATAGCCGCATTTGAGTGATGAAGCACAAGATATGTAACAAAACAGTCTCCAATCCAAGATATGAAACATACAATCCAGAAAAGCTGCTTGAATCTACTTGACCAAATCGGCCATTTGCACCCTACTTTAACAAGGTCACCATGACAAGCTTTTGGGCAATTCTTATACACATAAACCAGTGAACTTGTATCTATGAATACATTTTTCTCGCCATCAAAGCCTTTGGGGTTAAAGAGAAAACTAAATGGTTTAACCTCCATTGATGCATAACCTCCCATCAAAGCAACCCATTGCAGACAAAGCAAATAAAACTATTAACAGAAAACAAATGCATAATAAAAAATGTAATTCCAATTCACAAGTTGCATTCCTTCAAGCTCCTTACACCTGTGCATAATGTTTGTAATGCTTGTTATTGAAGCAATCACAAAACAAAAAGAAGGAAATTTTCCTATCACAACAACATATTAAAAACAAACTACCTCTATGCAATCCACGTAGCAAATTGGCACTAAAAGCAACGGAATAATCAATCAAACATCAAAAACATTCATCACCAAACAAACAAATATTGAGAGGAAACCCACATTAGAAAACATTAAGGCAGTGAACAAAAGAAACTTACAACATCCACGCCGAAACATCGTCAGACACAAAATGAAACAAAAAGAAAAAAAAAAACAGAAACAAAGACAATCCTAAAAACCAACAGTTACCTTAGCATCCAACATCTGTTTCAACCTAAGCAACATACGCAACGCCTCATCTTTGGCCGCGAACAGCTCCTGCTGATACCGGAGAGCCTTCCTCTCCGATACCATTATCCTCGCCGCCGCCTCTTTAGCCGTGTTCAGAATTATTTCGGCATAAGCCTTCTTCAAAGCCGTCAATCTCTGTTAAAAAAAAAACCCAGAAAACATCAAAGAAAACCCACATCGAAAACACTCATGTTGAACCAATAAAAAAGATCAAAATCAACTCTTTTTAACAAAAACCCAAAAACTAAAAAAAAATTCAAAATTGACACAAAAAAAAAAAAAAAGAAAAAGAAAGAACCAAAAGTAGATTATATACAAGGGTAGTAGAGAAATTTTACCTCGGAATCTGCCATTGTCGTTACTAATGCATCGAACTGATGCTGTATCTTTCAGACCAAGTTGTGAAGAAGAAGAAAAAACAACAGAGTAAAACGGCAGGTTGGAGTAGTTTTTTGTTTCCCTTTCCTTTGTAGCAGCTGTCTGTTAGGAACTGAAAGTCTTTCTCGTTATTACCAAACTGCCCTCTGTTGTCCCTTTTATTTACCAACAAGCTGACAAAACGGTTGAACCGGTGAGGTTTTTAGTCTGATGTTTTTCTTTCTTCTTCTTTTCTTTTCTAAGTGGGGCCCACGAGAGTAATTCAATATGACCTGGACGGAGATATGACAACGTGGAGTTTCATACGTGGCTCGATGCATGCAGTGGTTTTGCGTTGGGAAGCGTGAACGAGGTGACAGTTTGGGCGGTAGGTGATCGGGGGCCTAGCGTGAGGTAGCGGGTAGATAAGTGAGGCTCCGGGTTTGGTGCGTGTGAAAAGTGAAAGCCGTTGGCAACTCCCGAACTTCGAGTTGGGACGCCGACTTGCGAGGGACGCTTAAGGAGTTAAGGTTGTCAACCTACGCACCGTTTTTGGCATCAAATTTGGACGAGGGATTATCGGAACTTGGAACTTTTTCTATATTTCTATTAGATTCCTTCCTCATCTAAATTGCAGTATTTATTTTTTTATTTTTTATTTAATGACAAAAGATTTTGAGATTTTTATTTAATATTATTTTGGAACCAACTAATAAAATAAGGAAGATATTCTCATGTTATAGCAACTAACAAAGTCTCTTATTGAGAAAAATATATAAAGCCAAATTTTTGCTAAGAAATATATTTAAAAAACCAAAAAATAACCCTTAATAAAAAACTTATTTATATATATATATATTAATTTTTTATTATGTTTGGTTTATTTTGTATATATAATTTTTTTTATATAAATTTTTTGAAAGTTAAAGAACAATTTTATTACCCAATAATTTGCATTTATTTTGATCGAGAAAAATCATTCTTTTATTGTAAGAGAAAGAAAAGTTATGTTTTTTTCTTTCTTTAAAATGGAGTTTTACTCTTTTTTTTTTGTTAAATTTTTATTTTTAAAAAAATATTTTTTTACTTTCCCACCAAATTTTTGGGTCAAATATGGTATGCAAAGTTTATATTGTCGTGCATTTTTTTTATGAATCAAAAATTTTTTTCATATAAATTTGTTACAATTTATTAATTTAAGTACGATATTAATTCTTTTTATATTTTAAGTACCAATTTAAATATTTTATTATTATTTAGATGTCATTTTGTCATTAACTCGTAATAAAATTAAATAAATTACTTTTTATGTTGAATTTAGATCATGATTTTTGCTCACTATGATTGCATAACTATACATTTCATTGTAATTAGAAAGTAAGTATAATTTTATCATGTATTTATGTATTTGGATATTGAATTCGATAGTAAAAATTGCATATACATATATATAATATATATTTTTTTCAAAAATTATAATTCAATTTTATTTTTCAAATATAAATAGGCATCTCAAGGTTTGTTGGTTTATAAGATCATGAATTTTTTATAACTAAGATAAGAAGTGTAAATGTTGAATGTGTGTTATTTATTTATTTCCTTTGATTTATAATATTAAAAATGTCAAGGATAAATATAAAGATTTTGCTTAATAATAGGAATGATGAAAATAGAAAAAAGTTAAAATATTTTTTAATTTAATAATTGAAATTCATAACAACATCTATGGCAAGGTTATTAATCTCATAATGGATAATTTTTTTATTTTTTTAAATATGATATATGTCGATATTAATTATTTTAGTATATTATTTTAAAATTTTTTATTTAGTATAAATATATTTATAAATTATACATGAACTTATACATTATAATTCTATTAATAATTTACAAAATAAATATATAATATCTTTAAAAAAATAAATAAATAAATTTAAAAGTATAATAAATAATATCATAAAATTTTTATGATATTTTTAAATACTCAATCTAATCATATGATATTTAAATAAAATATATTTCATGTAAATATTAAGATAAAAAAATAAAGAAATGAAAAAAATTAGCATTAATTTCATAATTGTTAAACTTTAAAAAGAGAGTATAATTGCTTTCTTGAAAGAAATTGAGATACTTATAAATTTTTGTTTGAAAAAATAAAATATAAAAAAATAAATTATTATAAAAAAATAGAAAAAATCAACATTTAAAAGTTATTTTATCAATTAATTTTATTTTTATTAGATTAAAAATAATCAAATGACAAATGACAATTTTAAAATTACAAAATATATTTAACATTAACGTACTAATAGAAATAAACTAATTATCGAAATTGATAGAAATTAATCGAAATCAATGAAAATAATTGGTATTATCTGATATCAATCCGGTATAAAAATTTATTTTTAAATATATCATATTTTGATATAATTGAAATATATCAAAAATAAAATTAACAAGTATGATTTATGAAGTATTTTGTAATTAAATATTTGAATTTTTTAATTTTTAATTTATTCTTAAACTCTTAATTTAATAATTACTTAATTAAAAAAATTAAGTACATAAATTATTTCAAACCTTTTAACTTTCAAACATTAAGCTAATATCATTTCAATTTATTAAAAGCTAATTAACCATATGCGAACTAAATTTTTGATTTTATCCTTTACATCTTTCCTAGTAAACTGAAGTGTAAATGACAAATTTGACACAATCAGATATTTTTCTTTTTGCCAATGGAAATTTATTCATTTATTTATTTTTATTTTTGATGAAATTTGTTTATTTATTTATTTTATTTTCTTTATAAACCTACCACTATATTTTAGTCCATCACCGTTCAAAAAAAGACCCATTTGCCGCCAAATATTCCCCGAAGCATCGTGTCAACCCGCCCCAACCCATATCTCTTCCCCTCTATCCCTCTGTTATCCACCAAAACTCCACGTGTCCTTCTTTGGAGGTACTTTCCGCTCCCACCTTCAGTAGCAACTTCTCCGTCAAAATTTACAAAAAAAAAAAAAAAATCCAAATTACATCCCGATTTTCCATTGAAAATTTTCTCGAGAAAACTGCGATTCACCTTTCAGGCTCATGCAATACTCCAAATGACAACTTCAATACCTAATCACTTCCTAGCTCTCACGCAACCTTCCAAAATTTCACTCAACCGGCTGCAGCTCTCTTCCACTCAAATATTCAAAGGCGGCAGCCGTAGCTTCCTCTACGGTGGAGCTGGAATATCTGGAATATGCAGAGCGCAGCCTCGAGAGCTGGTCCTCGGTAAGTCGGCGGTGACGGTAGAAGAAGGAAAGTACAGCTACGACGTTGAAACACTAATCAACAAGCTAAGCAGCCTCCCGCCACGTGGCAGCATCGCGAGATGCCTCGATGTCTCCCGCAACAGGCTTTCGTTAAACGACTTCGCTTTAGTGTTCAAAGAGTTCGCTCACCGCGGCGATTGGCAACGATCCCTTCGACTCTTCAAATACATGCAACGCCAGATCTGGTGTAAGCCAAACGAACACATTTACACCATCATGATCAGCCTCTTGGGCCGCGAAGGCTTACTCGAGAAATGCCGCGAAGTGTTCGACGAAATGCCTAGCCAAGGCGTGATTCGCAGTGTCTTCTCCTACACGGCGTTGATTAACGCCTACGGACGGAACGGTGCCTATGATGTTTCGCTTGAGTTACTTTATACAATGAAGAAAGATAAAGTTTCCCCGAGTATTTTAACTTATAATACCGTGATTAATGCGTGCGCAAGGGGCGGGTTAGATTGGGAGGGTTTGTTGGGGTTGTTTGCGGAAATGAGACATGAAGGAATACAACCTGATATTGTTACTTATAATACTTTGCTTAGTGCTTGTGCTAAAAGGGGTTTAGGTAATGAGGCGGAAATGGTTTTTAGGACTATGAACGAAGGGGGGATTTTGCCAGATTTAACTACTTATAGTTATCTTGTTGAAACATTTGGGAAGTTAGGTAAGCTGGAGAAGGTTTCGGAGTTACTTAAGGAAATGGAGTCTGGAGGGAATTTGCCGGATATTACGTCATATAACGTGTTGTTAGAGGCTTATGCTAAGTCAGGGTCAATTAAGGAAGCCATGGGTGTGTTTAGACTGATGCAGGCGGCAGGATGTGTGCCAAATGCAGCTACGTATAGTATTTTGTTGAATTTGTATGGGAGGGATGGGCGGTATGATGATGTTCGTGAGCTTTTTCTTGAGATGAAAGCAAGCAATACGGAGCCGGATGTAGCTACTTACAATATTTTGATACAGGTTTTTGGAGAGGGTGGGTATTTTAAGGAGGTGGTGACTTTGTTTCATGATATGGTGGAGGAGAATGTTGAGCCTAATATGAAGACTTATGATGGTTTGATATTTGCTTGTGGGAAGGGAGGGCTTCATGAGGATGCGAAGAAAATTCTACTTCACATGAATGAAAAAGGGATAGTGCCTAGTTCGAGGGCTTATACAGGTGTTATTGAGGCTTATGGACAGGCAGCATTATATGAGGAAGCTGTAATTGCCTTTAACACAATGAATGAAGTAGAGAGCAAACCAACCATTGAAACTTACAATTCGCTGCTTCAGACTTTTGCAAGAGGTGGATTATACAAAGAAGCTGAAGTAATTTTGCCCCGAATGAATGAGACTGGTTTTGCAAAGAACAGGGATTCCTTCAATGCTTTGATTGAAGCCTTTAGGCAAGGAGGCCAGTTTGAGGATGCTATCAAGGTTTATGTAGAGATGGAAAAGGCAAGATGTGATCCTGATGAACAGACCCTTGAAGCAGTTTTAAGTGTGTATTGCTTTGCGGGTCTGGTTGATGAGAGCAATGAGCAATTCCAGGAAATCAAAGCTTTAGGAGTGTTTCCCAGTGTCATGTGCTATTGCATGATGCTGGCTGTCTATGCAAAGTGTGACAGGTCAGTTTTACTCAGTTATTCAACAATCTCTTTTGTGATTTATGTTATGTACAGGAGGAATTTATCTGTCTGTGGGTAATGTCATGATGAATGTCTGACTAGCATGAACATTTGGTAATAGCTATATAGTTGTATGGTAGAAATTTGATGAAAGATATAACCTACCTTGGTATGTCAGTATATATGATTTTACTGCATGATGCACCGAGCTGTATTTATGATCTTGGTATAATTGTAAGAAAGTTCAACTGTTATTAATCTATATGCAGCACGGTAGGCTGCCCTCAATGACTCACACCATTAACCTTCATGCTTGTATTCCACAATCTCAAGGCTGCTGTGTTGTTAGATGTACAAGTTAGCCTCTGCAACCTTGGTAAAAATCGGCTTGTTTCTTCTTGTCTCTCATACAGTGGTCCTGTGAATCAGTGACCCAGCTGCATTCATTTTTTCTCTTTGATCCCTTAAGATGCTCTTCTATTTTCCAGTTATCCTTTCTGTTAGAAGTTTAATTCTTGTTACTGGATGAGGACTGTTATATCTATGTGATGGATCGTCCTAGAATGAATGCCAGGAAAATGTTTTGTGATGTTGAGTAGGGACTTATGCCTTAAGGAATTCAAAGTGTCTTGAGAGGAAAAAGCATACACATGTTGACAGTTGCTTTAGCAAAAGTATGTTAATAAGCTGATGGCAACTTCTTTTACGTAGTTAGATGCTCAGAATAGTATGATGGTCTTTTATTATTCTTGAAAAATACTTTAAAAAATTTTGTTAGATTGCTTTACACAGAAGCTTGGTTAAGTTTTACTTGACTGTTTTTTGAGAATTTCCATTATTTTCCAACCGTGCCTAATATTTAGTGTTAGTTCAAATATTTTCTTTTTCTTATGTTGATGATGAAAGGATACGACTATTAGTTTCGTTAGCTGGGAGCAGGGATGTATTATTGGTCCTGGGCATGGTAATAGGGCGACAGAGTAACCCTTATGTGAGGAATGATTGGGCAAGGAAGCAATCTGTGTCTACTTCTTTGACCTTTTTCCAATCCTAAACATCTTGCAATATGGATGATATTTATGCTATAGCAGTCTATCAAAGAAGGTATATCAGGGCATAGGCATACAAGTGTGGGCTATCTGGTGATTGTATGAATATCCTGGACTTGGTCATTACCTATTTGTAGTTTTTAAGATTGATGTACTGATTCTGTTAAATATTTGCCTCCTCTTTCTCTTTTATTCTCTCTGTCTCTCTTCTCAATAAGCATTCAATCTTTTGTTATGACTTATGGTAGAGGATGTGTCTTTGGCGTTTGGATGGAATTTCTTAGTAAAACTGATTGTTTGCATGGTTTCTCCACATCAATTTAGAACATGGTAATAACATTTTTTTTCAGTAATTTTCTCCTACAAACATTTTGCTTAGAAGTGAACTTCCCTGGAGATGAAAAGTCAGTTGGTAAATGGTATTGCAGTGCTTGATACGTTGGTGTGAGTTGATCTACTTTTCTTTTTTCCCCCTAAGCTCAAAAATGGAGAGATGCCCATAAACAATTTATTGATATGAAGTTTGTTTCCTTAGGGCACTACCTAATATAAGATTATTTTCAAGGATTCTCTTCCTGAAGCTATGAGACTACTAGCCCTGGTGACTCATGCACATCTATGAGTAACTATGAGGTTCTTCATGTGAATAAAATTTGAAATCTAGTGATATGAGAGGAAGTTAAATGTAAGAAAGAACCCCATTTATTCTCTATATTTTGTCCTATATGTGTAAGGTTAAACTACACAGACTCCTCATAAATATATTTGAAAGATGCATGATGGTTGCAAACTAGAAACAGTAATCCTTAAGTTATTTGTGTCAGAGTCAAATTTTATCAGACTTTGTTCAGTCTTGAATTACAATTCGTGGAGTTTACAATCACTTTGGAAGCAGAACTGTTATTGCCTTATTTGCTAATTTATCTTACCTCCTAAATTTCAACGCGTTTAGGTTGGATGATGCCTATAAGTTACTCAATGAGATGCTTGCAAATAAAGTGTCGAATATTCATCAAGTAATTGGACAGACAATAAGAGGAGATTTTGATGATGATGCAAACTGGCGGATGGTAGAGTATGTCCTTGACAAACTTAACTCTGAAGGATGTGGCTTGGGAATAAGGTTCTATAATGCACTTTTAGAAGCACTTTGGTGGCTAGGTCAGAAAGAACGGGCTGCAAGGGTGCTTAATGAAGCAACAAAGCGAGGGCTATTCCCAGAACTTTTCCGTAAAAACAAACTTGTATGGTCTGTGGATGTGCACAGGTATCAGGGGACTTATATTTGAAGTTGTTTCTTTCCAAATTCATGCTAATTTTATTTCACTAATGATTTTATCATTTCACAGGATGTGGGAAGGTGGCACTTATACGGCAATGTCAGTTTGGCTCAACAATATGCAGAAGATGTTCTTGAGGGGTGATGATCTTCCTCAACTTGCTACTGTTGTTGTAGTGTAAGTTTTATTTGATATGCAACTTATCTTTTCCCAATCTTATAATTTGAGAGAGATAGCCTGGCGGGGTTTAGTCAATTGTACATGGAAACTGTGTTAATCCCATCTTTTTTCTGGATAATTATTCAATGATTATAAAACTCCACAAACAGGTTTGTACCTTTCACATGTGTCCATTTAACCTAACTAATTATGGGCAAAATAGTTAATTTAATAAATTTTCAAAGGTATATATGTCATTCATTATTTGTACTTTTGGAGCTCTTTTTTTTGGTACAGGGATTTTGTGTTTTCATTTGTAGCATAGATATGTTAACTCTTTAATTAAATGTTACTTTCTGTATTTATGGTTAAATGGACGGTTTCAATGTATGCACATTACGGTGATGCGTTCCCTTAAAATTCTTAATTTTATCAACAACTTTTGTTTTTATTACCAAGATTTGTCCCCAAGAATCTTTTGTATCGCATGCTATCATGACTCTCCAACTGCATAATTCGATGATGTTGCTGGCGTCACTCTTGCCCTTGTACCACCCTTAATAACTGTTCCTTCTGCTTCACTCTTGATTAAACCACCTTAAAGGACGTTCCCTCATCAGCGTAAGCTATCTATTGATGTATACATCTTTCTATGCTAACCTAATGAACATGGTTTGTTGCCTTTTTCTTTGGTACATAGGAGGCCACAGTCTAGGTACGGGGTAAGTGGTTGCAGGTGTTAGAATTCGAACCCAAATCCGCTAGATACCACCTCTTAAGGGTGGTTGCATGAATTAATTGAGCTAAACTCTGGGTTATGGTTTGTGCCCTATTAAGTTTGCAATATGTTTGGTAGTGAGATTCTTTTGACTAGAGGTTAAGTCAGTTGATGGTGTGCATCACTTGTCTGGAAAATTGATGAAACACAGCCAAATGAGATCAAGATCCAGCCCTTCTATATATATATATTTGCCAAGTATTTCATGCCAAAGTTCAGCTTTACATGATTATGAAGATTGTATGTACTGTTACATATTGGAAATTTATATAAATGCTGGAAGCTACCATGTAGATTGAAGGTTTTCTGCTACATTGACTGGCTTATGCATTTGTTTACTCTCGTTATACAATCCTGTCAGTTGCATTGTGTGTTGTGATTCAGTTTTTCTCCCTAATAACAACAATGTTTTGTCTTTTGTCTTGAGCAGACGGGGGCAGATGGAGAAAAGCTCAAATGCCCGAGATATTCCAGCTGTAAAGGCTGCCTATGGATTCCTGCAAGATAATATGTCATCATCATTTTCTTTCCCCGGGTGGAACAAAGGTCGCATTGTCTGCCAGCGGTCTCAGCTTAAGCGAATTCTGTCAGCCACAGGCTCATCTTCAGATGAGTTCAAAGAGAATAATATAATTGCTTTAAGTAACTCCCCCATTCCTTTAATGGGAATGAAATCATCTGCTAGTGATGTGGAGTATAGCCAATGTGATAATGTGATTTCTGAAACAAAATTGAGAACAAGAACAGAGCTTATGGCTGGCACAGTTTAAATAGAAACACAAAATCTATTCATGAGTTTCCGGAGCTTGGAATTTGTCCATATTTGTTTGCAATGGAAAATGAAGCGATGGTCTTTGCCAAAACATCAGTCACCAAATTGCTGAAAAGAATCAGTCCCGGGGAGAGGGTGGACCTCAGTGGCTAGTGTTGCAAACTGCTTTTTTGTGAAGCGACACATACCTCAAATGGGTCTCCAAATTCTGCAGCTGGATGATGAAAGCTTCTGATCTTTCACGTAAGGCTGTTATTTTATTTTCTATTTTTTCTTGTTAAATTTACACTAATGTGTATTTCATATTTTGCATAAATTATTCTTTTGAGAGAAGTTAGAGCGAAGGAGGTGACCAAAATTTCACGGCATTTGACATAAGATCGATCAAAAGTTAAATGTCAATGAACATTGGATATTGGAGACTGAATTGAAGAGAAGAAGGAACAAAGGCAGGAAGAATAGAGGGAATTTGTCGTTCCTTTTTCTTCTTCATACAAACTAACATGATGTCGGAGAGGGATTCGTCGGAAAACATTTTATTGACCGGCCTCCTTTTGCAAATTTCTTGCTTAGCCCAGCCCAGGCTACTCTCCATCAGTCTTTACCTCCGAGCTAGCCCAATCCACATCCTGCTCATCCAGAGCTCAAAATAATTGGTTTTTTTTTATGTGCTAAATAATTTTCAATTTTTGAAAGATGATGAAATCCGATTGAACCCATATGCATTAGACTAATTTTTAGGCATTACAAATTTACGAAGGACATAATATTTTGATTAATCTTGGGTTAATTATACATTTAGTGCTTGAAGTACATTGAAATTATCGATTTGGTATTTGAAAAAAAAAATTGCAATTAAACACTCAAGCCATGTTGCACTTTTGATTAAAGATGATAGTTAAATATATTTAAAAAAAAAGATGATAGTTAAATAGTTGATGTTGTAAAAAATAACCAATAAAAATGTTAGGTGCCCAAAAAAAGCCACATTATTTTTATTTTTGATTTTTTATTTTTAAAAAATTATAAAAAATGGAGAAAGATGGAGAAAAAAAATGAGGAGACGGAAAATGAGAAAAAAAAAAAAGAAATTGAGGGAGGAATGATATCGAGCTATTGACCTGCCATTTCCTCTACAACCTCCCTTCTTTCCATATTTTTTTTTCTTTTATTTAATATTTTTAGTTTTAATTTCAAAAATAAATTTAAAAAAATTTAAAAATGACATGTATTTTTCCTCAGGTAATGTAATAGCTATTCTTTTGTCGCATCATCAATTTGACTAACAATATTGATTTGAAAGTATAAAATTTTTAATGAAAATAAAATTTGATTATGTATTTATGAATTTTTTTTATTTTAAATATAATACTTTTATTATAATTCAAATATCAAATATATAATTAATCCATTAATCTTTAGGCCTTTATTGATGCTATAATTTTGGTTTTTTTTTTCTTTTCTTTTTTACACTTAACTTCTCTTATTAATTTTTCTTGAGCTCCCCTTAAAAGAAGGCTTTTTTTTTTTAATTTTTTTATTGAAACACTTAAAAGAAGGCTTTTGATGCTCTTGACAATGATTTAGTTAGGTCATGGAGCAAGTATAGCTTAGACAGTACAATCACATAAAACAAAAGGATATTGTTTTATAATTTATGTACTTCGCTTTTAGTTGTAGGTACAAAGATACTTTTTTTCTTTAATCAGATACCCATCACATTATTTATTTATTTTTTAATAACGATGGCTGATATTTTTGTTCTTCTATCTTTTTATTATTATTATTACTATTTTGATAGGGGATAAACAGGCTAAGCTCATTTTCTTTGACGCCAAGGCAATACTTTTGGACAAAAAGATGTAGTTGTGTCGTTCATTTCATTGGATTGAGAGAAAGATAATTGAGGATAAGTGGGTTCATTTTTCTTCATCTCATCATCATCAATTGTGCAAATCAAACTTCTTTGATAAGCTTTTTTGTTATGCAAATTCTATCCATACCTACCACTTTGAGCTAACTTCCAATTTGCTTGCATACTTCGGAGCAACTATTATATATATACTCAATTTAATTATCCTTTTTATATTCAATTTGAAACACAGAAAAAAGCTTCGAGCAAATCAAGCTTTATGATAATTAAATTTACGTATTACATTTTTGAAATAATTTTTTTTTTTTTGATAAATGTGATATTGATTTTTTTTATCTTATAATTCTCATCTAATTTATTTCAAAATTCGAATTCTAGATATTAGGATGCACAAAAAAAATGATATTGTTTTTACATAAAATTTCATTGTTTTCACTCTTTGCATGCATAAATTTTATTAATGGGTAATGCTTTTCTCTTGGTCACAAAAGCTAACACTAAAGAGTAAGGATTCCTTAATTTTTACCTTTTTTTATTGATTGAATTTGAGGAGGAAGGTAATAACTAATAATTATGAGTTTTCAATGTAAACCCTACTTCCAATCAATACAAAATGCATAAGTGATTGAAGTGAGACTTAACCTTTTAAGTGTTAAGGAAGCCCTAGATTATGAACTACAGTTTTTTATTTTTTTATTATGATTCAATCTAAATTCAAGATTTTCAATTTTAAAATATAAATTCCACTATTTCATTTAAATAAGATTTTATATTATTTTCAAAATTATCATCACCATAATTTTTTAAGTGTTTATTCCGTATCAATCACTACTTTATATCATCTCATGTTCTGATTTTTTTTATTTTAAATAATGAAGCAAAGTGAAGATTGGCTTAGGAATGTTGAAGGATATGGTTGATACCCACAAAAACCTTATCTTTGCCTTATCCTCCCAAAAGCACCCCACCATTAAAGGCCCCACGTTAGGTGATCAACCTAAAAAAAAAAAAAAAGTTAAGCTAGTATCTTCTTTTTTCTCTCATTGGGCAGTCCAAACTCCACCACCATGTTTCTATATTTCAAAAGAAAATTTATCAGATATTTCATAATTAATTATCATATTTTATAAAGATGATTTTAATTTCAGTAATCAAATTTAAATTTTGATAATTTTAAATATAAAAAAATATAAAATGACATTCAATTTTTTTTTTATTTTTTAATTGTATAGATAAAATTATTCAATTAATTAGATTAAGATTATATCATATCTTTACAAAAATTAATATTCAAAATTTGAACAACTAGAGTTTATGATCGTATGCAGCTCAAGATTATTTTGTAACAAAAAAAACCTTAAGATTATTTATCGTTTGACATTAAAATTTAATTTAAAATCAATATTTTTTTATATGTATAATATTAAATTACACAACAAAAAATAACTTTTTTTATTCTCATAAATCTTATCTTATCTATTTCAAACAAGTAACTTTTAAGATGAACTTTTAAATATTAAACAACCCGTTGAGATTGCTTAAATTAATATTAATTCTCGATTAGACATTGGTATAATACAATTAGTGGAGAGTCGGAATAAATAAAAGTAGAAATGAAGTCAATCGAGGAAAGCCAACTTGACATATATAAAAATGACAATAAATTATAATAATACCAACACACAAATATTTAACAATTGAATTGTGACTTGAAAATAACATAAACTTAGTAAATCCCTAAATATATATAGATATAAAGAAAAGTTTGTGAAAATGAGTTTGCTAGGAAAGGATTTGGTCGGTAAATATGATAGGAGTATTTTTTATTTATTGTGAATGAAATTTTTAAAATTTAAAAGTTGTATTAAAAAAATTAACACGCATATAGTTTAGAATTATATTAAATATTTAATATATTTTAATATGAATCATAATTTAAAAATAAAATTTATTAAGTATTATTTTTTAAAATAATTAGATAAACGAATTCAGTTAGACTTTGGATTAATATGCGGTAACCCGTTAATTATTTAACTTCGAAGATGTATAAAATAGTTTTTTTTTTTTTTTTTTTTTTAAGTTTGCTTAGCATAGGTAGGCAGAAAACCATTTAGTCAAATTGCAGAGGGGACAAGTTAGGTTGACTGGATTCATTTGACCTAAAAAAAAAAAGAAAAGGATTGGATAAGATATTATTTTCCGGACATGGTCCCACCATTTCCATGTGCATATTGTCCTTTTTTAATTGAAAAAAAAAATAACCGAAGGGTGCATGCCAATATGTGTTTTTTTTTTTTTTTGAAATTTTTAATATTTAATAATTATTTTAAAATTAAATTAAATCGAATTTCAAGATAATTTCAGGATACATTCTTTTAACGTCTATTTTTTATTTATTTATAAAATTAAAAACCGATTCTTTACTTAAAAAAAATTGAACTCATTGCGACTTTGTAGTTGATCGTTGTAACACCTAGCATTTGTCAAGCATATTTTTATGTGTTGCTGTTTTGAGTTTTTTATTTTTTTATTCATATAATGCTATTAGATTTATTTACTCGTGAATTTTAATTAATTTTATGTTTACTTGATAAATTATAGGTTAAGAGTTATCTAAAAAATTATATTTTAATGAAAGTAATTTAATATAATTAAAACTCTTTTTTATCTATAAACTTATATATTTTTAAAAATCTTGATGAAAACAAATATTTTTATAAAATTTTTAAATTATAGATATGGTTATAGACGATGAAATAAGTTTCTTTTTTTATCTTGAAAAGTAGTATAATTATATAGATAATTATTTTTGAAGTAACAATTATAATCAAGTATTAATAATTAAATAATTAATTATTATATCATAATCAAATTATAATAAATGAATAATCAACTAACAAATTTTATAAAAAAAAAAAAACCATTGGTGTATAGACCATTTTGCAGTCTAGGTTAGCTCATGTCTTTAATTTGTTTTTTGCTTTTCAACTTTAAAAATCTGACTTTTTTTTTTAACATATTAAAATTTTGACTTTTAATTCTTACTCTATTTAGATAATAAAATTAATTTTAAGGAAATAAAAAATAGCAATTGTGGTGAAACTAGTATTATGGCGCTAAAATTAAAATAATTATGAAGTGTAATAATAAAAAACATTGTTTATTTAAAGACATTTAATTAAAATTTGTATATAATAAAATTTATAAATAATTGAAAATTACTACATTCATTTATATATATCAAATAATAATTTTATATATTAATATTTAAAAAATATTTCTAAATAAATAATTTGCTGTAATAAGGTCAATTGGAGATCGGAAGGGAATGCTAAACCCACCCTTACAGGAACAAGGGGCGAAGTCCTTTAAAAAAATATATCTAACATAATTTTATTTAAACTATAGTTTTTTTTTTAAATGTCACGTGTCAATTTTATAAATAAATTATTTTTTTTTATTTTAAGAGAAATTGTACAACTTCACAAATCAACCTTTTAACTTGCAAATTAAAGTTCTACAATTATCCAAAAAAATGTAAAAAAAACAAACAAACATTTAATTTCAGTAATTATCATTTTCTTCACCCATTATCCCAATTAATCCATTTATTGAATGAAAAGGAAATGAAAAGTTTAATTTGTTAAACCAAAAAATGATAAAATCTCTTCATCTTCCTTATCTAATTATTTTTTTGTCAATTTATTTAATATTATTGATTTTCCAAAAGTCTTTATAAGAAAATAAAAAAAATCTATTTTTTATTCTTCAATTTTCACCCAAATTTTGCTTCTCTAAAAAAATATTTGTCGATTTGTAAGTATTTTTTTATGATTTTATTTAAACTTTTATGATTTATTGATTTTTTTTTGTACAAAATTCATTAATTAAAAGACTTAATTTATAAATTCGAAAGGTATTAAAAGAATTTGATTATGAATTTGTTGATTTATAATGCAAAATTCTCAACCCATTTTAATTCTTTTTTAATTATTCATGACAAATTTTCATATTTATTTTTAAAGAATTTAATATTTTAAATTATTTTTATTGTTAAATCGCACGAGATATTACCTAATAATAATCCAAATAAGGGTATTTTAAAATTTTTCACATATAATATATTTTAATTCCTAGATAACGATGATCAAATGTGATTTCTAGGTAAAGAGGATCAAATGTTTAATAAATAACTAGTGGAGGGTAATTAAATGCCCTAAGCCTTTTTTTAACTTGGCGCATAATTTTCTAAGATGGTAATTGACTATCTAGTAGAAGATAATTGATCGACCTATTAGCGAAATTAAAAAAATGGCTCAATTATCTATTAAAAAGTTCGATTGATTGTATATAATATAATAATTTGTAGTAAAATAGGTTATTTATACAAGGAAAAACATTAAGAAATGGGATTTGGCATCAATAATAAAGTAAAAGTTTATAAATATTGCATATTGTGATTTAATCAGATATGATATTATATTATAAAATTTTAATAAATAAATAAATTTAATTTTAAATTTATATCTAAAAATTAGTTTTTTTATAAAATATAATTATATTATTTATTTATAATGTATTAAATATAAGTTTATAAAATAATATTAATACCTAGTGTAGAAAAAAATAAAAAAAAGGATAATAATAAAAAATCTAATGCAGCATTATTTATCCGGTATATCCGCGAAGTACCAAAATGAAATCCGGTAAGCTCCCTCGTTATCTTTTTAGAGATTTGATAAACAGACAGAATAACAAACACTTAAAACAGATTCACCAACCATTAAAGGCCACGTAACTTCCCGCACATCGAAAACAGTTTCCACAACGTGGTGCCACCTCACCCTTGTCGTTACCCTATATATATTCTCCACGCGATTCAACCGGACTCGTTCTTTAGCAGTTCTCTTTCTTCTATTTTCTCTCTAATTGTACGGCTGGCGATTACGTCACAGGGTTAATCGGAAGAAAAAGAGAATAGTATGCCGGCTGCCACGTGCCCCTTTGCCTCTTCCTCCACCGCGAACTCCACTGCGAACGGTGGCGGAGGAGGAGAGATCATGCTTTTCGGAGTCAGAGTGGTGGTTGATTCGATGAGGAAAAGTGTTAGTATGAACAATCTTTCTCAATATGAACAGTCTCATGAATCTAACAATAATAACAAAATTAACAACAACAACAACAACAATAAAGCAGACGACAACGCCACCGCCTGTTACGCTTCCGCCGACGACGCTGTTCCTCATTCCACCGGGAATCGCGAGCGTAAACGAGGTCTTTTTTACAATTTTTAGATCTTTACTTTTATTTTCGCTTTTTTTTATGTCTGATTTTTATTTTGATTTTAATCTTGATTTTTAAATGAAAATTAGGGGTACCATGGACGGAGGAAGAGCACAAGCTTTTTCTGTTGGGGTTGCAAAAAGTAGGGAAAGGGGATTGGAGAGGGATTTCTAGAAACTTTGTGAAGACTCGAACGCCCACACAAGTGGCGAGCCATGCTCAGAAATACTTTCTCCGACGAACCAATCTCAATCGCCGCCGTCGTAGATCTAGCCTCTTCGATATCACCACCGATGCGGTATTCCCTATTATATCTCTCTCTTTTCTCAAGACCCTTTTCTCTTTGTTTTTTGCTTAGAAAATAGATGAATTTAGGAATTAAAAAAAAGTTTGATCGGTTGAATCTTGACGTTGACTCCTATTAGGTGGATAGATAGAAAGATGAACATTTTATAAGCAAAATCAAAATTTGATTTGTTTTGGGTAGTTTTCTCATTTCTGGCTACTAAAAATCTGTTTTCTTTATTTGACTTACCCCTGGATATGAATGATAATTGTATTAATTTCTTTAAATTCTATAAAAAATCTGTATACGAAAATGTTTACTTATATTAGAGTTTTGCTAATAAGTGAGCAAAGAATTTATTATATATTGTTGCATTTAATATAAACATATTGTCATAAATTACCGACCTTTATTTTGACCTTTTTTTTTTTGCTACTATATGGTTAGATAGCGGCAATTCCAATGGAAGAAGAGCAAGTTCATCCACAAGAGAACACAACTCAGCCAGCCGAAACCAATGGGTTTCTCATGATGCCGGCGGCTTTTTCTATGCCTGTTAATCCGGTAGTTCTACCTGTTCCAATTGAGAATCCTATGGAAAATCTGACACTAGGGCAAGGGAATCAATCCATTAATAATGCAACAACAAAGCTCATCCGTCCAGTTCCTGTCTTCCTAGCTCCTCGGCCATCTGATCTTAACTTGAACTTGAATTCAGTCATGGATCCTTCACCATTGTCACTGAAGCTGTCTTTACAATCTGATCAAATGGATTCTACTTCTTCATCTTCTAGGCATTCTGCCTTTCAGGTGATCCCAAACTTCAGCAATGGAGATAGCAATAGCATCATCAGTGTTGCTTGAGAAGGATAAAAGTAAGCAAAGAAGCAAGGTAAAATTAGGTGACTGGGTTTGAAGCCTTTGTTTAAGATGTACAGACAAAAACAGAAAAAAAACTGTCGTGTCTTGTTGCTTTCGTTGTTTTCTGTTGCTATTATGTTAGAATCTTGTTCATTTGTCCCTTTTTGCTCTGCTAGCTGATAATATAACTGAAAAATAACAAGTGCTGTCTCTGTTCATTACTGATCTTGCAATCTTGGTGGGTCTATTCATATGACTTTCTTGTGGTCTTAATGGCTTAACGAGGGAGCCCAAGAAACAAAGCAGAAAGAAATATCAAGCTGGGTTAGTGGTAGGGAGGCAATATTTTTGTTATTTTCGGAATTTGAATTGTTGAATAAAGCCCTTATTAAATGAATGGTAGATGGTTGTTGGGAAATTTAATGTCTGGTTACATGGGGCATACCTTATCTTTTGGAATTATATGGATTGGAAAAAGTGGGTTGGTGATTTCTGTGGTGGATTTCTGCATATAAGGATGGATGAAGGTCCTTAATTGGGACAGAAATGGGTAGCTGGCCTCTCATGCATGTTACCTTCGAATCCCCAGATGGACAGGTTTTCATTTCATGATTCATGACTGTAGGCTGTAGTTGGTTTGGTTTGATGTTCGTTGTGGATGGCTTTTTTACTTCCGAGGTTTTATGTTGTTTTAAGGAGAAAATAATTGTTGCCGGTTTTAGAAACTTTTTCATTTTTACAAAGAGTCTCGATTTGAGAACAGAGAAAGGGTTTACAAGAATTGAAATAATATAAATCTGAATTAGATTTTTTAAAAATAATTATATAAATCAATTGAGTTAAATTTTATATTTTGTAAAAATATCATTTTGTCAATATAATTTTCGAAAAAGAAGGCATTTTGCAATTTGTCCAAATATCCAGCGAATAAAAATTCGTAGAGGTTTTCCATGATTCCATCTGTTTTAGTTCTCGCAAGGAAAAAAAAAATTTAATGGTTGGCGTTTGTTTTTCATTTCATTAATTCTTTGGCCTGAAGATGTGGTGCTCTCTAGTTGAACCATAACCGTGCTTAAATACAAAAGCCGTCCGTTCCGAGTGTGAACTTCACTTTGTATGGTTTTGGAGTAATGGTGTAAGGTAGAGGTGGAAATTGGACAAAAAAATTGAATTATTTCGATTTGAAGTAATTTAGATTTGATACTCTGTTATTTGAGATTGAATCGTTGGAATTAGACCATTTTGAAATAATCTTTGAGTTGCTTAGAGTTCAGTCATTTCAGATTTTGGTTGTCCGTTTTATTATCAAATCAGATTAGCTTGATTCGACCATTTTTTTTTTTTTTTTTTTGTTTTGTTTGCATTCGAGCCAACTATAGCAATTCTGGCGCATGTTATAAAAAGAAAAGGCTGTAGAAAATGATCATGTTCAAGATAAGATGGGACGCAGGGGAAGATGGGACGAAATTTTTTTATTTTATTTTTTGTTTTTGTTTTCAGAACACTAACTACTACTCGTTTGAAGCTCCTTGTTCTTCTCAAATGAAGTTATCATTTTAGCCACACAATTTTTATTAGGAGGTGTGGGCTTCGTATTTTTATTTTATTTTTTGCTAAACCGAATTGTTTCAAAGCTAGCAAAAGAAGTGAATATATCTATCTAATACAAATCTCGAAGAAACAAACAGAGTTCAGCTGAGTAAGAAGAAGAAAAGCACCGAATATAATATAGCAATTCCAAGCCCCGCCACTTAAAAAGGAAAGGCGAAGGGCGGACAACAATCCAAGTTATGAAAAACAAGGACGAAGCAAAATCATCCATTATAGTATTTTAGGAATCTTTGTGATTTGTGAAGATGGAAAAAATTTTAAACCTCTGTGGTTCAGGAAAAACTCGAATAATTTAAATTGTATATATAGAACAATCATTTGAAAGCAAAAAAAAAAAAAAAAATGGGGCCTTTGGGAGCCATAGCCCAAAGGGTAAACATAAACATTGTGACATAGTAAGTGTGATGAAATGAGTAAAGAGAAGACCTACAGTCATCTGTTAATAAAATTTCGGATTTTTAATTTCAGAATTAAAATACTGATAATTTAAGTGCCACAATAAATGAGTAAAGGAAAGGAGAAAGGAATGCCTGAAATCCTGTTGTATGTTTATTGTTCAAGCAAGCTTTGACAAAAGTTAATGAACTAGCAAGCTGGAAGAAATGAACATTATCAAGTCTTAACACATCCAGAAATTTCACAAGAGTTGCTATAAAGATCTTAGTTCAACAGTCCTCTTGATACAATTTCTTCTGTTCTGATATAATTGTTCCAAAAAGAAAAACAAAAAAAGAAACTTTTTTTTATTAGAATTAAAAAAAAATGATTGTAAGTATTAAATTTTAAATCTTAAATCATCTGAATATCACCTTTTAAAGTAGCTGCCGTATGAATTAATAAATTTTGAAAGAAAATATTTTAAATTTGAAAGATTTACTTACATGATGAATATCATAATCTCGAAAACCATGCATATTTGAAGAAAGGTACGACAGATTACACCTAAATTTTAGACAACCTTCTTTGTTATATTCTCAAAGAACAAACTTAAGCAAATAGCAATTTGATTCTAATACGTGGAATAAATTATTTGACCAAGATATGATTCTTTTCTTTCTAAGCAGTTGATGGTCTCATGAATGAATATAATTCGGCTGCACCTGTTTTCCTCTAGTGCAAGAACCTGCTTTATTAAGGAACAAAAGAAGAGAAATTTTCTTAACCTAATACTTCCCATCAGCCCATCATTCACCGCTACCAATGAAGTTTTTTCTTTTTCCCCTTCATTGTTGGTGACCAAGGGGATTTAATTTATTTGCATAGAAATATGTCCATGATCTCTGCCTTGAAAGCCACTAATTTAAACAAAGAGATTCCTATGAAGATGATGGAGAATCACTCATATGATAAAATGTTAAACTTTTAATTTCAGTAATTAGAGTTCAAATTTTAATGATTTTAAATATAAGAAAAAAAATGGGCAGTACAAAAAAAATTTCAGATAAAACTTTATGCCACAACTTTTGAAAAACATTGCTTAATCATAGAGTATAGGTTCCAAGTTTCTTAATCTGGCACTTTGGAAGTCACATGATTAAGGGGGTAATTATTAAGCAAAGAAGCTTATAATGAGATTCTCCTTGTCCTTTCCACCATGTATTTTATTCATTTTTGTCTTGCTCTCAGCTTTTCCTCTGTTTCTGAATGACCAATTCACTCCACAATCTTGAATGGATAGGTTTTTGATTCCCTGAGTCCCCCCATATCTCTTACTTTTTTATGTGATGTTTGATTTTAATAGAGAAGATGAAGAAAAGGGAATTACTGTAACATTTGTCCAGTACCTGGCATATCCACCGTGCAGATTTTGGCTGTGTAAGTAGATACAGCTTGATTTGCTTTTAAGAATTAAGCTGCTTATTTAATATTTAAAAGCAGAACTAACAATTTTAAAAAGAATATAATAATGATACAATAATAAAAAAAATAGAGGGTTTAAAATTTTAATAAAAATTATATATGAATTTGATAAAAATTAAAAAAGAAAAGTATTTTATGTTTGGTGTAAGGACAGAGGTTATGATAACAATTTTTTTTTATTATTATACACATGTAAACATGAAGTAGACAAATACACGAATTGACACGTTTATAGGAAAATTAGTTTACATTATCTTCTGCAACATCTTAAATAACCAAAATTATCAATAAAAGAAAAAAAACAAAGAGAGAAAATTATAGAAAATTATCTTGGAAACCTGATTCCTTGATGAAATAATTGTAACTATCTGTACACTAATAGAAGAGATATTGGGTAGAATCTCCATATTCTGGAAGTCTTTGCATCTAAATTTAGCTGAAAGAAACACCCAATCAATTCACTTTTTAACTGTACAAAACAAAATCATTCTGAAACACATTGCAGGGAAGGCATTAAATTAGTAATAAACCCGTATCCTTATTCTTAGGATGCTTTGGCTTCTCAATGACTAAAGATATGAATGATGAATGGATCAAGAAAAGATAAGTCAATCAGGCACAAATCATTGCAAAACAGAGCAGCAAACCAAATATGATATATTTCACAGGCTATTTGGTTCCCCATCATATCAGAGGGCATGAGTCAAGTTGTGATTGTCTGGTTCAGGATCATACCAGACAATCTGGAAAAGATGTCAAGGAAAATAACTAACATGTTCAAGTAATCCAGTGATGTAGAGAGGGGGTATATATAAAGATAGTTACTTCTTTCTGCTTAATGGTGTGGTGGAGGTGGCAGTATGTAGGGAGAAAGCTTTGATGCTTCATGTAAATTGCTTCGGTTCTTGCCTTCCTTATTAAGGCAGCGAAGATGCCATCACTGTCTCTTTTCTCTTCATGAACCATGAGAGATTCATTTCCTCCGCCTGGTTGCATCACGAATGAATAAGGCTTCGAGCTACAATGCAGCTTTTCTGACCTTTGGCTCCCAGAAAATTGAGGCTGCAGCACTTCATCAGTAACCATATCAGAATCTGTTGCGGGTGCGAGGTTTTTGGTTGCTGTTGGATGTCCAATTGCTCCAAGACGCATCTTGGCAATATAAATTGACGAAAGCTTAATGATGTTCACCAGCATCTTCTTTGATTTCTCTCAAAGAGACTTGCCATTTCTTTCCTCAAGCATCTTTTTCAATACTTTGATTCAAGTTCTTAGGGCCAAACTCCAAACACAAGTTGATGATTAAAAATGAGCTAATGAACTGTGTTTATAAATAAGCCTTATGAAACGTTTTTTAAAGCAATTTGAAAGAATATATCAGCAGATTCATACGTAGATTTTTCTAACTCTTATGTTATAGCCAAAGAAACATGAATCAGCATATATATATTGTTATTTGAAATTGTCAGAATTTAAATATGATCATTAGAATTAAGAGTCCAGCACTTTACCAATATGCCACGCGGCTGTTGGTGAACTTTCTCTGGTGGGTGGATCCCTTTCTCATTCCACGACAACGAGTCCTTTTCCAGAGGCCATTGAGTGAGTAGGGTAACTATGGTCTGGCAAGAATCTCCTCTCAACCTCTCTAAATGCAGCAACTGTCATTCACATTGCCTGATATCATTAACCTTGAGCCTAGATCTCTCATAATTGATTCCTGTCAAATCTTTAGCACAATTGATTAACAATAATTCACATGAAAGGTTTGGTTTGATTCTAAATTGAAACCAATCGTTTTTAAAATCTTGTTTAAGACAGGACAGCTAATTATAAGCTAAATACCATAGAAACATGATGTCCACAATCAAGCTTTCTGGATAGCATTCAGCATCTAGCCAGTTTCAAGTAAAATGTAAGTAAGATGGAATGGGATTCCTGTCTAAATTGCTTTCTACTTCTCTCTCTCTCTCTCTCTCTCTATATATATATATATACATATACATATATATATATATATATATCACCTTCATCACATCAGTAAGGAATTTTAAAACAGAATCTGATGCATCTCAAGCCAACCATAAGGTATTTCAGCGCTTTGGGCTGCATCAAATGTTCATAATTTGAAAAAGTTTAACAACTGAATATGATTTGAAAAAGTTATTGACATCACAGGCGGAGAATAAACATGATTTGGCTGAATTCTGCAGTTATTGAAAAAGTACCGAGTCTCTTGTTTCATTCTAAGCATAAAATTTGTCATTACTCTTTCTTTAATGACCTATGCTCTCTTATCTCAAGATGTGCAGCATTTTCTATGACTATGAGATCCACTCAGCAATCTTGCCAAACGGCATAACAAAACATTGGGCTGAAGTGAAAAGTTAGAAAGTAACACTTTTTCATTGAATGTATGGAGTAATCTTAACAGAGCAACATGCAGAAACAAACCATCTTCCATTCTCGTAACAACTGAAAACAACTTCAAAGCATTTTCCCATTACAAACTAAACTTACAACTCTGTATGGAAAAACTTTTTGTCACCCAAAAATTGAAGCCAATGCATTCGAGACCACTCGGAATCCATATCTCAAGCAGAAGATACAACAACCCATTCTGACCCTAGTGTAAAAGAAAGAAATGCCGACACTCACCTCAAAAACGGGTGGAGAATTGACGAATGATGACTGGTACAAAATGAAGAATGAATAAAAACAGCAAATACAGGATCAACTAATTCATTTGGCTACTAAACAAGACGAGGCCTCAGCAAAAACAGCCCCTCCAATAATTCTTATTCCTTTCCACTATGATACAGGTACCAGATTCAATTCAAGTGGCTTTAACGCTCCCTGAACAATCTCTTGAACTGTTCGATTACGACGACAAACATCAGATAACTCTTCAACTGGGGACATCAGGACATTGACATCAGCCCCAGCGGCAGCATCTGATAATGATTGCAAAAACCTTGAGCGCTCCACCTCCTTGACGGCAGTCAATGGGATCAATGAAACACTTTCCTTGGCCCACCCCACAGCTTGCATCCCATATGCTCGAGTTAGTGCTAGAAGTGTGTATGCTACCTAGAGTAGCAAAACGCCCCATGAAATTTATCATGTAAGATATTTAAGGCAATAAGTTTAAACTTATTCTCTAATCATTAATGTATCAATGTCAATGTGCATAAAAGATGAAGAATACAATAAAGCAGTAGAAGCTACCGTTTCTAATCGAGAATTTGGGAGTGCTCCAGTTAGGGCTGCCACCAAAATTCTAGTAATGGTAGCACCTCGCAGAATAATGACACTATCCCTGATAGATAAAAACTGTTCTCCCTTGCTAGACTTTGCAAGATCAAAGATATCAGACAAGAAGGTCAAAACAGAATTGGAGGCCTCTCTGCAAATAAGATACGGTCACACAATAAATTTCTAGAACATGTATAATAAAATCATTTATTACCTTCAATCATAAGTGAATGTCATCTCATTTTGGGGCATTCCAATCTATGTCTTCTTTCCTTTCTTTGAACATTTCAAAATCCTATTTATCTATCCTCCTTACTACCATTCTTAAAGATTATTTTTATTTTTTTTTCATTAAAAAACCATTAAACTTCAAGTCTTCAATATTTAAGGTTCAGAATGCGAATAAAAAAATCCAAAAGTCAAAGGTTTCCCTTAAAATACATGCCAAATCAAAAGAAAGAAATTCAATTCAAGTTAGATGGGAGGAGAAAACACATACCCAGTACCTTTTGATTACAGGCTAATAAATGTTAGAACAAATGTTGTGTAAGAAGGATGTACAATGTGTGTGCACAGCCACAGACATGTGAACATGCACAGACAAACCAACAAACAAGCTCATGCAATAAACACAGGCAGTGAGAATGAAAGAGGCCATACCTGTGCTGTACTGTGATACCAATCATTGAGCAATCTACTAAGGCTGGAAATACAGTAGAAGGAATAAATAATTGAGGACAATAACGAATGCACCTTGATGCCAACAGAAAACAATCATCTGCAATATCTGGTCTTGTAGTGAATTCCTGTAGCAACAAAATAGGTATAAGTTTCGCAAATTTAAAAAAAAAAAAAAACACAACTTGTAGAAACCATACCTTAATACTTGTAAGAAGACATGTTGTGTGCTTGAAGAGCGCTTCAATCATATTTTTTAGGTAGCTTGCACAAGAAGGATCAGAGCCAAATATCTGCAGCCAAATATCAACATTTAAATCAAAATGAATATAAAAGTTAAATCAGCAATATTTAACAAAAAGAAAAAAGTACCTTTATAACTTCACTAGATAGATAAAGGAAGCATGGCTGGTGGTGTTGTTGATACAGGCCTTGAATTTCTTCAAGCATTGCTCCGATTGTAATTCCCATAAACCTTCCAGAAGTTCTCACCTAATAAAAAAACCTTTCAGATCATTGCCGTGGCTTAGTAATGCTATTATTGTCAGACAGGTCACTGATAATAAGAAATTCATTCACTTTCTTTTTTTCTACGCCAGGTTATGGGGGATAAACCCAGGAGTCAACAGGTATCCTCGGGTTTGATCCCAGAGCCTGTAAAGTAAATCTGCCCCTGGATAAAACCCATGGCTCAGCTAAGAAAGCACCTGAATAACATAATTAATAGCAACTACCCCTACAAAGTAAGGACTACACATTCCATCCAACATAGATTTGGATGGATGGTGGGATTAAAAATAGCTGTGGCAGGTAGATTAGTTACTGCAAGGATGAGATTGAGTATTGTAGTAATAAGATTAAAATCAGTAATGAAATATAAGTTTCGACACAACCGCAGCAGTAATGAGAAAAAAAAAAAATTATTAAAGACATTAAACTAAAGTTTTTATATAATAGAATTTTAAAATTATTTAATATTTTTGAAGTTAATAAGTAATTGAAAATTATTAAAATTATTTATTCACTTTATTATTTATTTTACATATTTATTCAATTTCTAATTTGTTATTAATTAGTTTATCCTATAGTCATTAAAAAAAAAAAATGCTATGTGGTATGAGCACTTTCATCCCTACACTATTGCTATGAGGGCAAAAAAGAAAAAACCAATGGGGTAGCATGGATATAAAGGGAACAGAGGCTGTGGTTGAAGATTAAAATTCTTCACTGGTCCTTTGAGCTCAGCAGCACGGTGAAAACAGCTTCACCGCACCACAGTCAAGTGATCCAAACAAGATTTCAGTGTGATTGAAGGTGCCAACGAAACCACACCAAAGGCAACTGGAGATCCAAATGGACCCTTTGTCTTCAAGATAGTATTTACACAATTAATTTACCAACTTCTCCCTGGAGATGCACATGTTATGATTTGGGACAGCTAGGCTTGTACATCCATCCGAAGTACCAAGTAACAAAATAGTAGAAAATGAATTTAAGAGAAGTAAAACAACAAAAAGATCAAATGGAACAGATTAATTCATCTACAATAAATAAAAACACACTAGTTTAAGTACAATGGTAGATGCATACCACATTCCATGATCAAACAAACTAATTCAACAATCATATTCTGAGAAATCTGATTAGAAACATATTTCTTGGGAATTAATATTATCAGTGCAATCTATTCATGCAACTCCTGCAACCAGAGAAGGCATAACATAACATGCATGTTGATTGGAGAATGCCAAATTTGTATCTAAGTGTGGCAGAATGTTGATTGACAATCAAACATCTGAATCCAGTCATTAAAAATACAGTTTTCTGAGCTGACTCAGCAACAGTAAAACATTACAGCAGACTCACAGCATATTTGCAAGCACGGCAAAGAGACTCCATGGTCCGCATGTCCCAAGCACGACTGCATCAGAAGCATTTAAAGAACAAATCAGGTACAAATCAGAAACCCCAGAACACTGACATTGTAATGTCCTATTTAGGAAGTTCAATACTTACAGATCAAATATCACTTTGAACATTGGCCAAAGCCTGTGAATTGCATCTGCAACTGCTCCAGGATGATTTACATACCTAGAATCGGTGCCAGTTACATGGTGAAACAACCTCAATAAACCAAAATAAACCAACAGAAACAATGAAAATAGAAAGGGGATGGGAGAAGGGGGAACATTTATCTCACCTAAAGATATATGCAAATCGATCGATGTGAACAGTTAATTCACGAGCATGTTTCTTCTCTAAAACTTCAGGACCTAGGTTTATAACTTCCTGGTAATGTATCATAAAAATGATCCATTGTCAAACAAAAATAAAATTAAGCATTACTAATTAAGCCTGCTGGAAGCAAATAACCTGTAAAGGAGCAACAACAGACGAGCACAGTTCCTCCAAGGCATCCTTAGCAGGCTCTGGTGGAAGTTCGGTAATAACCATGCTGAGGAAACAATATAAAAAGCCATTAATAAATCAATTGGACAATGTAAAACTATAAGTTACTATCCATATCTTTAACACATAAAGTTGTTAAGTAACAAACACACCTCAAAGCTTCTACTAAGTGCAATGAGTCCTCAGCAGTTCCCTTAAAACTACCTTCCCCATTAACTGCTGTATAGTATATATGGAAAAGCTGTTTACAATAAGCACAAAGTTTTTTACGGCAATCTGCATTCAACAGAAACCATTTGAATCCACAGTTAAAATTCTGAATGCAGAATCATATAAAGCAACATATTCACCATCTAAGTATAAACTCAGACAGCTAGTTTCCAAGGATATACCAATAACTATTTGAGAAGATTTCATGCATATATAGATACATACATACAAACATACATATGGATATGTATGTATCTTATGATGCAGACAGCAAGGTTCTTCCATGTTTTCTGCTCTTTTTCTTATTTTTCCTTCTATTTTCTTTTCAGGAAAAGGGGGGGGGGGGTTGGCATTCCATTATACACAATCTCACATGATGAGTTCATGATTCTCCAAAGTTAAGTACAGATTTGAAAAGACAAGCAGTCAATCCAAATTTTACCACCCACACTTAATTACTATTATTAAGGAATCAATCATTATATGGTTTTGAAAAAAAAAAAAAGTTCTAACTACAATGTCTAAGTATCATTTGTCAGTCATCAACAA